TTTTTAAATGTATGAAAGTGAGGTAGCTAAGTGAAGAATAGTACACTTTTAAGGTGATTACACTGGGTCACTAACTGGACCTGGATGGATGAAGTTCACCAGTACTGTCCCAGGACGGGACAGTACTGGTGAACTTCATCCAGCCCTAAGGTGACTGACACTATAACTACTTTATTGAAATCTCTTTATTATGCAAAGCATTTCTGGCAGCCTTGAAACTAAGGCTGAAGGGACTCTGGGAAAACGGTTAGCCAGACTTGAGTCCTGGAGATGGGAAGTACAGTGTCTGCACTCTGAAGGAGGAGTGTCAATGTTGCAGTTTTATAACAGTAGTGTAGGCGTGCCTCTGGCAAGACAGTGATGGAGTGAATAATGATGAAACTGTTTCTTCTTTTTTTGGTCACCTTGCCTTGGTGGGAAATAGCCAATGTGTTAATATAAAAAAGTATACGAGATGAAGAATTCCTAGTTTTTAAACCATAGGAGATATTTAGTAATTCGATAAAAAGTAAAATTAGTGATATATTTAGGATTAAGTTAGGTACATGAGATGAAGGAACAATAAAGGTATTGTTAAAAAAGTCAACTGGTGCTGGGCTTGTGTGATCACTTAAGACTAAATTTATACCACATACAACAAGTTAATAATACATGTAATAATATCTTTATTTCTACAAGTACAGTGGACCCCCGCATAACGATGGCATCACATAGCGATTATTTCGCATACCGCTTACTTTAATTGCAAAAATTTTGCCTCGCATACCGCTTAAAAACCCGCTTACCGATTTTCATCCGAGACGCGTCCAATGTGCGACCTGAGCCACACTCACATGTTCCGCCGGTGGCATTGTTTACCAGCCAGCCTCCGCGGTAACATCCAAGCATACAATCGGAATATTTTGTATTATTACAGTGTTTTCGGTGCTTTTTCTGGAAAATAAGTGACCATGGGCCCCAAGAAAGCTTCTAGTGCCAACCCTACAGCAATAAGGGTGAGAATTACAATAGAGATGAAGAAAAAGATCATTGATAAGTATGAAAGTGGAGTGCATGTCTCCGAGCTGGCCAGGTTGTATAATAAACCCCAATCAACCATCGCTACTATTGGTGGTACAGCTGCTGCTGCTGCTGCACTGTCAGCTGCTGCTGCTGCTGCACTGTCAGCTGCTGCTGCTGCTGCACTGTCAGCTGCTGCTGCTGCTGCTGTAGCACCGTTGTTGGTGTGGCTTATTGAGAATACCAAGAAACAATTAACCCCAGAGGATTTGCCACCCAGGATAACCCAAAAAAGTCAGTGTCATCGAAGACTGTCTAACTTATTTCCATTGGGGTCCTTAATCTTGTCTCCCAGGATGCAACCCACACCAGTCGACTAACACCCAGGTGAACAGGGAAAAATGCCTGGAACTAGTGCTCATATTGGTGAATTTAAAGCCAGCAAAGGTTGGTTTGAGAGATTTAAGAATCGTAGTGGCATACACAGTGTGATAAGGCCTGTTCTGGAAGAAAATGCCAAACAGGACCTACAGTACTCAGGAGGAAAAGGCACTCCCAGGACACAGTGTCTCATCAGTCATTGCTGCATCTTCAATAAAGGTAAGTGTCATTTATTCTTCATTTAGTAGACTAGTACATGCACAATATATACTGTGCATGTACTACTCTACTATTGTGCATGTATCCTTCTCTTTGTGTGTGGGAAAATGTATATTTCATGTGGTAAAATTTTTGTTTTCATACTTTTGGGTGTCTTGCACGGATTAATTTGATTTTCATTATTTCTTATGGGGAAAATTCATTCACATAACGATTATTTCGCATAACAGAAGTTTGTGGTTACAGGAAAGTGGGTGCAGGAGGGAAGAGGAGCGATTGGTGGAATGATGATGTAAAGAGAGTAGTAAGGGAGAAAAAGTTAGCATATGAGAAGTTTTTACAAAGTAGAAGTGATGCAAGGAGGGAAGAGTATATGGAGAAAAAGAGAGAGGTTAAGAGAGTGGTGAAGCAATGTAAAAAGAGAGCAAATGAGAGAGTGGGTGAGCTGTTATCAACAAATTTTGTTGAAAATAAGAAAAAGTTTTGGAGTGAGATTAACAAGTTAAGGAAGCCTAGAGAACAAATGGATTTGTCAGTTAAAAATAGGAGAGGAGAGTTATTAAATGGAGAGTTAGAGGTATTGGGAAGATGGAGGGAATATTTTGAGGAATTGTTAAATGTTGATGAAGATAGGGAAGCTGTGATTTCGTGTATAGGGCAAGGAGGAATAACATCTTGTAGGAGTGAGGAAGAGCCAGTTGTGAGTGTGGGGGAAGTTCGTGAGGCAGTAGGTAAAATGAAAGGGGGTAAGGCACCGGGATTGATGGGATAAAGATAGAAATGTTAAAAGCAGGTGGGGATATAGTTTTGGAGTGGTTGGTGCAATTATTTAATAAATGTATGGAAGAGGGTAAGGTACCTAGGGATTGGCAGAGAGCATGCATAGTTCCTTTGTATAAAGGCAAAGGGGGATAAAAGAGAGTGCAAAAATTATAGGGGGATAAGTCTGTTGAGTGTACCTGGTAAAGTGTATGGTAGAGTTATAATTGAAAGAATTAAGAGTAAGACGGAGAATAGGATAGCAGATGAACAAGGAGGCTTTAGGAAGGTAGGGGGTGTGTGGACCAGGTGTTTACAGTGAAACATAATAAGTGAACAGTATTTAGATAAGGCTAAAGAGGTCTTTGTGGCATTTATGGATTTGGAAAAGGCGTATGACAGGGTGGATAGGGGGGCAATGTGGCAGATGTTGCAAGTGTATGGTGTAGGAGGTAGGTTACTGAAAGCAGTGAAGAGTTTTTACGAGGATAGTGAGGCTCAAGTTAGAGTATGTAGAAAAGAGGGAAATTTTTTCCCAGTAAAAGTAGGCCTTAGACAAGGATGTGTGATGTCACCGTGGTTGTTTAATATATTTATAGATGGGGTTGTAAGAGAAGTAAATGCGAGGGTCTTGGCAAGAGGCGTGGAGTTAAAAGATAAAGAATCACACACAGGGTGGGAGTTGTCACAACTGCTCTTTGCTGATGACACTGTGCTCTTGGGAGATTCTGAAGAGAAGCTGCAGAGATTGGTGGATGAATTTGGTAGGGTGTGCAAAAGAAGAAAATTAAAGGTGAATACAGGAAAGAGTAAGGTTATGAGGATAACAAAAAGATTAGGTGATGAAAGATTGAATATCAGATTGGAGGAGAGAGTATGGAGGAGGTGAACGTATTCAGATATTTGGGAGTGGACGTGTCAGCGGATGGGTCTATGAAAGATGAGGTGAATCATAGAATTGATGAGGGAAAAAGAGTGAGTGGTGCACTTAGGAGTCTGTGGAGACAGAGAACTTTGTCCTTGGAGGCAAAGAGGGGAATGTATGAGAGTATAGTTTTACCAACGCTCTTATATGGGTGTGAAGCATGGGTGATGAATGTTGCAGCGAGGAGAAGGCTGGAGGCAGTGGAGATGTCATGTCTGAGGGCAATGTGTGGTGTGAATATAATGCAGAGAATTCGTAGTTTGGAAGTTAGGAGGAGGGGCGGGATTACCAAAACTGTTGTCCAGAGGTCTGAGGAAGGGTTGTTGAGGTGGTTCGGACATGTAGAGAGAATGGAGCGAAACAGAATAACTTCATGAGTGTATCAGTCTGTAGTGGAAGGAAGGCGGGGTAGGGGTCGGCCTAGGAAGGGTTGGAGGGAGGGGGTAAAGGAGGTTTTGTGTGCGAGGGGCTTGGACTTCCAGCAGGCATGCGTGAGCGTGTTTGATAGGAGTGAATGGAGACAAATGGTTTTTAATACTTGACGTGCTGTTGGAGTGTGAGCAAAGTAACATTTATGAAGGGATTCAGGGAAACCGGCAGGCCGGACTTGAGTCCTGGAGATGGGAAGTACAGTGCCTGCACTCTGAAGGAGGGGTGTTAATGTTGCAGTTTAAAAACTGTAGTGTAAAGCACCCTTCTGGCAAGACAGTGATGGAGTGAATGATGGTGAAAGTTTTTCTTTTTCGGGCCACCCTGCCTTGGTGGGAATCGGCCAGTGTGATAATAAAAAAAATAACAATTACCCCTCTTGCACGGATTAAAATCGTTAACCGGGGGTCCACTGTACATGTACAAGGTATACAGACCATAGCTGACATCACTGACATAATACTATATAGAAAGCTGCTTGTTATGCTGAGCATTTCCCGCAAATTAGATCAGTTTTGTCCCAGGATGTGACCCACACCAGTCCACTAACACCCAGGTACCCATTTTAAACTGATGAGTGAACATGGGCAACAGTGTCTTATGGAAACACGTCCTAATGTTTTCCAGCTGTACCGGAGATTTGAACTCCAGACCTCAGTGTGTGAGCTGAGTGCGCTAGCAGTCAAGTTACTGGTAGAAATGTTGTGTAATGCAGGTGAGACTGTATAATGTGAGGGGGACTTGTAGATCTTTCATAGAAGGGAACAGGAAGGTGCTCTTGTGCTGCTGAAGTATTCTTGATCCAAGAGAATGTAGCTACCCTTCCGTTCCTTGGATTAAACCAGCTTTCGCAAAAACGATGACATTGCATCAGCTTGAAACAACAAATCACACTTTTAAAACTGTACCTTTGATACATTAGCTACCTTTCATATTGTCTATATAACAGTAGCTAACTGTTCAACAAATGCTATGTAACAGATGATCATTGAATGAGTTTGAAATATGTGGACTTTTAAAATTGTACTGTTGTTCATTTAACTACCTCTCTTTTTCATACATTTAAAAATCCAAAATAATCTATGCCTAGTTCTTAAGTATTAGGATTAGTCTGCCCAAAATGCACTGCATTCTAATAACTTTGTTTTATGCCTAACAGTATTTTGTTACATGTAAATTACATTATCTGTACACTGCATAAAGAAATTAAAAATTTGATTTGGATTGGTCTCACAGTTTCCCATGTAAATAATTGTACTAATGTTACGTACTTTCAATGTATCTTCAGGTCAAGTTTGAAGATGTAAATGTAAAGGAAGAGCCGGAGGACTGGCCGCAGGCAGAGAGTAATGAAGACCCACAATTGTTCAGGTTCTCGGACCCAGGGTTGGCGTATCTGGCAAATGCGTCTACTTTACCCTTGCCCGTGCAGGGTATCAGCCAGACAACACAGGCACAGACGGGTCCCCTTGAGCATTCTGCCCACCCTCTACCTGGACCTTCAGGATTACATTCTGTAAGTTTTGTGCTTGTAATATATTAGGATAGTAAGACTCTTGATATTTATTAGCACCGGACTAACTTGTTCTCTGTTCTGCTTTCCTAAGATGTGTTCTGTAGATCTTTTATTGTGCTTGTATGATTCTCCTGCCTCGGTCTCCTGTTCATTGGTGGAGGCTACTGCAGATAAGGTGATAATTAAACCTTAAACGGTCCAAATGTATATGTACGCTCACTCGCACAGCACCCCGAATATTTTGAAAAAAAAAAAAAAATTTATAGAAAAAAAGAGCACAATTTTTTAAGTGTTTTAGAATAAAAAAAATTTGGGGGTCAGTACTTACCGAGATATGAGGCTACGAAGTTGGCACTTGGTGATCACCTGACAGCAACATGGAGCACTGCTGCTTGCAGAAATTCTACATATTTGCCGTTTTCTTCCATTTTTTTAATTTTCTTGGTTTTCATGATATGATAATTGTTTTATGGCAAATCTTTTGATTTCAGTGCCAATTGTTGTTTGTACACCAATATTATATACGGAATTATTATCACATTGTTATAAACACACATGTACACACTGACAGGTGATTTTGCACACCTGGCTGAATCACATTCTATTATCTACAACTATATACAAGTATTTACATGTCCTACTTATGTTTCTAGAATTCCACGATTGTATGATACTCCATGAAGCATGGATTCATACAGAGTGCCACCCCACACTGGTGACAAATGAATCGTGTGTCCTTCCTCTGTTAGGGTCGTTTTTTGGTGGTAGCACACACAACACACTTTTTCTGGGCATTCTTCTTCTTTTGGGTAGGTGGTATTGGTACCAGATAGTGACAGTTAGGAGTGATTGGGCCTGGCACTTCCCCCACTGACTGTGGTTGGGGGACAGGTTGTGGTGTGACAGGTTGCTGTTGAGGGGCAGGTACAGGTGTGGTACCATACTTTCTTGCTATCTGAGAGAATTCTGCAAAACATTGTCATTTTCCAGTCTCTATTTCGTATATATATAGAATCCATGGGGAAGTGGAACAGAATTCTTCCTCAGTAAGCCATGCGTGTTATAAGAGGCGACTCAAATGTCGGGAGCAAGGGGCTAGTAACCTCTTCTCCTGTATATATTACTAAATGTAAAAGGAGAAACTTTCGTTTTTCCTTTTGGGCCACCCTGCCTCGGTGGGATACGGCCGATGTGTTGAAAGAAAAGAAAGAATGCATTGAGCACTGCAGTGTCTTCAAGGTGAAAAAACAGTTTTATATACCACTTGCAACTCCTACGCACACAGTCAACAAACCCTATCATCATGTCACACTTGTCAACTAGTCGCACATTGTTCCTATAGTCCACGCCAGCAGCTGGCTTTACAATAGGTTCTTTGTCGAACTTGCTCAGTCTGTCTGTTTGTACCATCTTGTTTCTGTGGATGGTTGACAGCAGTGTCACGTCCCGTTTGTCATGCCATGTCAGTGCCATGATGTCATTAGCATGAAACACTTGCACTGCACCTTCAACACTACCTCTACTGAACCTTGGCATATGTTTTCTATTCCTTCTCACTGTTCCACATATATCAGTATTGTTCACACGTAGGAAATCAGCGAGCATAGGGCTTGTATACCAGTTGTCTGTGTACAGTGTATGGCCTTTGCCAAGGTATGGTTCCATCATCCTGTGAACAACATCACTGGAAATGCCCAACATCCGTCTGTCATCATCGAGTGTATTTCTCCCGGTGTATACAGTAACATCCAACACAAGACCACTCTCACAGTCACACATAACAAAAAGTTTTATACCAAAGCGATTACGTTTGCTCGGTATATATTGCATGAATGACAAACGTCCCTTGAACAGAATCAAGGACTCATCAACAACAATGTTCTTGAAGGGATAAAAGTATGCACTGAATTTCTGCTTCAAATATGTAAACACTTTCCGGATTTTGTATAGAGGGTCATTTCTGTTTGGCTTATTTCTGTCTGAAAAGTGCAACATTCGTAGCAACAGAGTGAAGCTGTTGCAGGGAAGGAGGTCACGGAAAACTGGAGTACTGATGAAGTGGTCTGTGGACCAGTAATTACGTATATTGTTCTTATAAATTTGTGGCATAAGCATGACAGTGGCAAAGAATAAATACATTTCAGCCACTGTTGTGTCCTTCCACCCGTGCAGCCATGACAATTCTCCAACCTCTGTTATGTTGTCCATGACATATCAGTAATAATTGTTTGTCTGGGTCACTATCAAGCTCATTATAGGCTCGTCAGAGTACAACTGGAAATAGTCTAGCTCTGTAGACTCATTCGTTTTGGGACATTCTGGCTGGATACCACTTCCACTCACATCAAAATCACAAGGCTGTGGTACGAATATACTTTGTGTCCAGTTCCACTCACGATCACATGGTGCAGGGTGGACCTGTGGCATGGGGCGAGGGGGAGCAGGAGGAGGGACAGGAGTGGAGGCAGCACATGGTTGAGGGGATGCCGGGCGGTCCTTTGTCTGTCCACCCACTGCGCCATGTGGTCCAGACACCGTGCCACCCACCACTACTTCCTCCATCCCCGCATACTCGCCTTCATGATCACTTTCACTATCAGTGGCCAGGGTTTTGGATCGTGACCTACCGCGACCCTTGGGGATTGTATATGGTACACTGCTTGAACGTAGATAATGACGGCTAAAAGTACGCTTCACTGGTGAATAATGAACTTCACTATAGTTAGACGAATCCTCGAATGGCATAAAATCAATCTCATCGTCACTTACATCATTTTCACTATCACTAAAACACCAGGAAAATGATAGTTTCCTCTTGCGAAGTTGCCTATGGGTAACACTCGGCACTCCAGAGGTGCTTGGCCCAGGGTCTTGTGTGGCCACACTGGCCACCCCAGAAGTGCTTCGCCTAGAGTCTGCTCTGGCCACACTGGCTGCCTCAGAGGTGCTTGGCCCTAGGACAGGTGTCGCTACCCCAGAGGTGATGGGCTGAGGGTCATCTGGGTTATCGTCGACATTTTCACAAATTCCTTGAATATTACTGGCCCCATTGGTGTCAAATCCAATAAACTCACGATCTATATCACTTTCCTCGAATAGTAGAGTGTTAATACAATGAGGTGTGAGTGAATCACGAGGATGTGCCGTGATTTTGACCCAAGATGAAGCTGAATGTAACTGGTCCTACCATGTGGTACCCAGGTGTCCCAGATTTTTTTTGTATACCACACACACTGAGTGCACACACCCATTCTCTCATGTCTAGGCGACTCAGGCCTATCGCGCCAATTTTGAATGAATGAAAAATAAAACGTATACAGTGGTCCTTCATTTATCGTATTTAATCCGTTCCTGGAGATGCTACTGTTATCGAAATCTACGATTTTCGAATCAATTTTCCCCATAAGAAATAATGTAAATACAATTAATCCGTTCCTGACACCCAGAAGTATTAAAAAAAAAATGTTTTACATGAAATATAGATGTAGTACATAAACAATAAAATGGGACATGATGAATGAAACATTAACAGCATAACACTTACCTTTATTGGTGATTCTTCTTAGTGTATGGAAGACTGGAGGAGGAGAGAGATTGAATTAGTTACTGTTTGGAAGGGGAATCCCCTTCCATCAACACCTCAGGTGCCAATTGCTTTTCTGGGGTTACATACTTCTCTGTTTCTTAATGCCACTAGGACCACCTTGAGAGTGACTGGAGTCCTGTCTCGCAATATAACTGTCCAGAGAGCTCTGTTTCTGGCGTCTCTTTAAAACTTCCCTAAAATGTGCCAAGACTTTGCCACTGTACATGTTGCCAACATGGCTTGCAACAGCCTTGTCAGGGTGATGTTTCTCCATAAATCTTTCAATCTTACCCCACATTTCAAAAATTTCCCTAATTTCTAAAGAAGGCACCTTCTTCCATCTCTCTTCCTCCTCCTCTGCAGCAAGATTCTGAGCTGCGATCTGTTACTGTTCCTGCTGAAGCTCTTGCAGCTCCTCAGTGGTGAGCTCTTCATTGTGGTCCTCCACCACCACCTCTTCCACATCCTCCAAACTCACATCCAACCCCATGGAACTCCCCAGTGCCACAATAGATTTAACAACAGACATAGGCTCATCATGGTCAGCCCCAAACCCTTCAAAATCCCTCTTGTGGACACAATCTGGCCACAGTTTTCTCCAAGCAGAGTTCAAAGTCCTGGTAGTCACTCCCTCCCAAGCCTTACCTATAAGGCTTTTGCAATGGAGGATACTGAAGTGTTCTCTCCAAAAATCTCTTAGTGTCAAGTGAGTGTCTGAGGTCACATTCAAGATCAGGCATAATCACAGATAATACCACAGACCACTACCCTACATTCCTCATAACAAACCTTGGCAAATTACCCCTAGACACTACTAAAGTCACTTTCAGACTTCACAATGAGGCAGCTATCAATAACTTCACAGCAGCATTGATCCTGATACCAACCTCTTATCTAATGACTTAAATGAATCAAACAGTAACTAATTACTACACAGCAAAACAATCAAAGGCACTTCTCAGAGCCACCAACAACATAACTGTCTTTAACTACAATATCAGATCTTTAAGCAAACATTACAATGACCTCATAGCATTACTAAATTCCCTGCATGCCAGTATGTCCATCATTACTCTCACCGAAACCTGGCTAAAGCCTGATACTACAGATGTCTATGCCATTTCTGGTTACACAACCATACACAACTGTAGGCCAGATCAACAAGGGGGTGGCACAGCTATATACTACTGAGACCAACTAGAATGTATCACTAATACTTGCACAAGGGATGAACATGGGGAATATATAATAGCTAAATTCAAATCCAAATACCCACAAAAACCTCTCACAGTGATAAACATCTACAGAGTACCACAGTCAAACATTAGCCGTTTTAGTGAAAACCTAGGAAGTATGATAATTGATGCATGCATAAACTAAGATCACTTACTACTCTCAGGTGACTTCAATATAAATCTCCTACAAGACCAAGACCCACATGTTACTGAATTCACAA